AGCTTATGCAGAATAACAACAGCAATAGCAGCTGAATATTTCAGTAGTTTCTTCTAAATTAGCCTCTTTAAATGTGTTCTTTAATTTCATGTTGCCTGATATGATTTTTTTTGTATAGAGGAAAATATTTGCTATTTCCAAATCACAGTAAACACATTTGGGAACTTTACCAAGCATTTCCTTTTACTATTTAAAGGTTTGATGTCACTTTGTATTTTTATCCACACAAAAAAAAGGAAAGGTACAAATTCTGGTCCTGGTGATTCTCAAACATTTTTAAGCCACTGGAAAAGAAACCCGTCAGTGTTTGGTTTGCCGTTTTTGATTTCTCTTTTTACAACAACAAAAAAAAAGATAATCTGCTGTGCAAATGAGCAGCAGCTGCTCTTAGGGATGTGCGCGTGTGAGTGGTGTATGTTTCCATGTGATATCATCATGTGGTGTGTGTTGGTGTATAATGTCAAGCCAACATGCTGTCTGAGGGATGTCTGGTCTGTTTAGAGTCTTGATACAGCTTTAGTCTTAGTTGTGCTCACAGTGTGTGTGCCTGTGTGAGGTTGGGTGTTTAGAATGGTCAGTCAGGCACCTTACACACACACACACACACACACACACACATGCAGAGTGGTTCTTCGGGGTGTTCATCAGAAGATAGGAGGCTTAATCATCTTTAGATGTGAGAGGGGGGGGGGGGGGGGGGGGGGGGCACTTCAACGTATCCTGATATCCACACGGCCCTTTGAGCAGGTGCAACGGTTTGCTTATCATTCAGAAGAAACTATTAAATCACATAATATTTTAACAGCTCAGCTTGGTCAGTTGCAATATATTCCAAATATTAAATAATAAATCAACAAAGGCAGGGTGAGTTTTTTTTTTGCCAGCAGTAACAAAAGTGACATCAGCTTCAATTAAGCTACTTTCCTTCCATGTTATTACATACATCTGAAAGCAACCGCTTGATTTTTTTAAATTTTATTTTTTTAACTTTTAGCACATCTTACCAATTGCATAACTCCTACAAGTTAACATTTGCTCTATAAATAAGATATCATAATAAAGAGCGGGGAAAAAAATTCTATTATTTATCATTAGAGCAATATTTCACCTTCCATCAAAGAGAGTTTATACTTTCCACCTAAAATTATGTCTTAATGTGGCTTAAAAGCGGTCATGAGTTCTGGATAGAACATATAGAAGGACAAAAAATGTTTGTTATCCTAAATGCTGAATATTTTTTCTGGTTTTGGTATAATTACTGCTCTGTCAGCTTAAGGCAAGGCAAGGCAAATTTATTTGTATAGCACAATTCAGTACAAAGACAATGCAAAGTACTTTACATGATTAAAATATAGGAAAATAAAACAGAATCAAAGCAAGTAGGAAAAAAAATAAAATAAAAAATGCAGAAACAAAAAAGAAGATGAAAAACATTTGGGCTAAAGAAAATAAAAAAGTTGAACTAATGATGTTTCAGTTAAACTTTTTAACTAGAACAGCCGAAGGCAAACATAAAAAAATGTGTTTTTAGTCTTGATTTAAAGACTTAAGGCATGTTTTAAAGTATCTATACTAGTTAAAGATTAATCAATGATTAAATTAATGAAGGTTATTTCAATAATTGCAAATTGTTTCAGTCCTAAATAAAAGTAATTCTGATTCCTTTAATGATTTCATTTGTGGGTTTGGGTTTAAAAAAGTTTTAAATGGGATATCTTTATAGAAGTTATGAGACAATTATAAGCTATATAATAAGTAATCAATAAAGAAATATTGCAAAAGGAACAATCCAATGTCTATTGCTGCTGTAGGGCAATTAGATGATCTTCCTCTTGAAATAAGATGAGTTTCTTTACTTTAACTCGTTTAAACATAATTTCATTCACTGGTTTTCACAGCAGAAGACTGTTTTTCAATGATTTTATTTTAGGTTTTACTGTTATACTAATGTTTTTTATGTTCTGAATGTTTCATCTTTAAAATGAGCAGCACTGTTTTTTAACCATAGATTTCAAAGTGCTTTATAAATAAGATAGTAGTCTACATTTATAAACAGTAATTAAAACTGCCAACCAAATAACTGATCTATTAGTTTTATCATAGCATGCAATGATCAAATTCACTCAAGGCTTTTAGGTTTTTTTAGTGATGCTAAATGAGTCTGAGTCTGAAAAATAAGCACATCATCCGACTGCAGCCAAGACATGTTTAATCAGGTTCTTAAATTATCTGGAAGAGTTCAGAGTCCATGATAGTTTAGTGACTACAATCAAGACCTTTTTTTGTTTAAATGGTCTTCGAATTCTATAACTTTACCCCAAATATGTATAAAATGTTAAGTGTGACATATCTGTGGTTTATGAATTATGTCTAGACAGTAGGAAGGTCTGTTTAAAGTGATTTTAGTGGACCTTCAAATATAGAAGGGGTTTACAGAACGTCTAAAGTTGTTGAGGTAGAAAAAAAACAGCAAAGAGAGTGAAGAAAAGGAAAGATTTTCCTCACTGAGGTTTGAGCCACTTTAACAGCCACTTTAATGGCCGGTCTGTCCAATTCTCGCACCAGTGTAGGTGAACGTGTGCACCAATTTAGTCCACTCCTCGCTGTCCTGTTCTTCTGTAGCAGTGTGTGTAATGGAGTTAACAGCTGGACACCACTTCTTTTAACTCAGTCTACTCATGGGCTTTCTGTAGCTGCTTTACCTTTGTTGCTCTCTTTTCTTCACTTCCCTCTTCGATTCTCACAGTGACCAGTTAAGGCTGCTTGATTTTCCTCCAGGCAAAACATCACAAAACCTTACTCAGCCAGAACTGTTGCTGGTTGGCTTGACAAGCAGTGATAACTCACGCTCCTGTACTACTAAGCTTGAGTTTAAAGGAAATTAACCAGAAACACTTTAGAGGTAATCTCAAGGTTCCTGCTTGTGGTTTTGGAAGAAGTGAATATTAGAGGAGAGACATCTTTATAAATGGATAGGAGTTGCTTTTACAGAAAATGTAGCATAATGCTACATTTCGTTTGTAACTTTTGAAACTTGAGTCAGTTTATATTTTAATATATATATTTTAATATATATATATATATATATATATATATATATATATATATATATATATATATATATATATATATATATATATATATATATATATATATATATATATAATGTATATTATCATTAAAATGATTAAGTTGGTTGAACCAACTGATCAGATTAATAATTTTTAATGATAATAACAATTCTAATTGAACTTAATTTATCTCACATTGGAGAAATTTACCTCAGCATTTAACCCATCCCATGTGGAGCAGTGGGCTGGGTCTTGCTCAGAGACCCAGAGTGGCAGTCTGTAGAATAGGGTCTCAAACTCAGAACCTCAGGATTCTAAACTCTAACCAATAGGCCGCCATTGCCCCTCCATTAATCAATTATTGAAATAATCGTCAACTAATTTAGCAATCGATTAATCATTAAATGGAGTTTAGAGACACTAAAAGGTGTCTTTAGATGACAGAGCAGCCCATTTAGAGCACTTTTAGAGAGCAAATATACTACAATTGAAAATAAAATATTAAAATATTGCCTTTAAGATAAATAAAAGGTTTTCGTCTGTCAATATGCTCTTCAGAACTCCTCAAGTTCAAAAGTTTTAGTTTTTCCATAAAAAGTCTACTTTAATGAACCTTTAGCTTTCAGATTATTAATCCACTAAATGAAAAAATAATCAACAGATTAATCGATGTTCTAAATAATCATTTGTTGCAATATATATATATATATATATATATTTATATATATATATATATATTTATATATATATATATATATATTGCAACAAATGATTATTTAGAACATCGATTAATCTGTTGATTATTTTTTCATTTAGTGGATTAATAATCTGAAAGCATATTGACAGACGAAAACCTTTTATTTATCTTAAAGGCAATATTTTAATATTTTATTTTCAATATATATATATATATTATATATATTATATATATTTTATTTTCAATATATATATATATATTTTATATATATATATATATATTATTTTCAATATATATATATATATTTTATATATATATATATATATATTTTATATATATATATATATATTATTTTCAATATATATATATATATTTTATATATATATATATATATATATATATATATATATATATATATATATATATATATATTTTATATATATATATATATATATATATATATATATATATATATATATATATATATATATATATATATATATATATATATATATATATATATATCAGTTTTTTTCTTCATAACTAACGTTTACAGAGCATCATTACCGATGATGTCCCCATCACCTCCCCATAAGGATGACTAAAAAGCCTATTGCAGAAACATAATCTTGCAGAACAATAAATCACTACAGCTCTCTAACAGTAAGGATCCAGATTTCTTACACTCTCTTTATATCCTCCTAGATGTGCCTGTACTAAAAATAACTCCAAAAAAAACCTCCAGAAAACATCTAAACCAAACCAAAGACTTTTTTACCCCGTACAGGAACCATGTATCCTGAACAATCTCAGCAATTTGCACAAATTAATGCCCCGGCAGCTCCTGGGTCAGAGTGTTGCTCAAGAGGTATGGAGGAGTGGTCACATCTTTTTCTTTTTCTTCTTTCCGTTATATAGCTTTTTCCTCTTTTTTTTTTTTCTTTTTTTTTACTCTTCCAACTGTTTGGCAAACAATCCTTACAAATATAAATTATTTTACACTTGACAAAAAAAAAAAAATCAAATGATAAAATATGCCACTTATTTCTTATGGGGACTTTTAAGCCTAACACATTTTTTATTTTTTTGAATAAAAAAAACATTTTTTTTTATTCAAGGCAGTTATTTTCATTTCAGAGATTAAACTCTAAAACTGAGGTTCCCATATTTCTCAGGAGACCTGATGAAATTAGCTTTTTCTTTTCTAATTCTAATAGAGGTTTTTTTTTTACCTTTAAGTGAACACCCCAGACCTGAGCATCGTACTGCTGGTGTTGAGAGACGCACAGTTCGGCCTGCTGAGCAATCTGACAAAACAGTCTAAGAGTTTCTCCTCTTTCAGGAGCAAACACCAACGCCATGCCCTGAGTTTGATTTGAAAAGAGAAACACACACAAAAAAATGTTTTCACTATATCGAACATGTTTTTAAGAAAGAAAGAAAGAAAGACAAAAAAAAGAAAGAAAGAAAGAAAGAAAGAAAAGTATACATAAACACAAGCATCACATAATTCCTGCAAATACTAAGAGGCTTAGTAACAGGTTCAAAGTGTCTTTGTAATCCTTTAGCTTTCAGCTTTATTTCATGTTGATTCGTCTTTTTTTCTTAATTAAATGAAGCAACAAGGGACGCCGAAACAGCCCCAAACATTCAATAAACACAGAAAGAAATGCACAATAACACATTGCAGGTTAAAAGCACACAGAGCCAAAGAAAACAGCAGGATCGCTCACTTTGACAGATGATAATTCATCTGCAAATCCAGTTGGATTCTCTTCTTTTTTTGTTCTGTTTCTCTAAAAGCCACAAAAGTAAACAAACAGACCAAATTCCTTCTAACTCTAATCAGCTGAATAAGAGGATCTGGCCCAACGGATGGACCACCTTTGTCAGAAACAACAAATTAGTGCCATTAAAAGGGAGAAGTAATTGCTTTGTTAATTGTTTAATCAGCTTAGCAAATTATTAAATATTTGCCAAAGCTTGTTGTGGCAGCGACAGTCTGATGGCCCACACTCAAATCATATTAGCCCCCCGAATTATCTCCCCAGTGGATTAAAGACAGACATGAAGAGCCTTAAAGCACAGCTGTACCACAGCGGCCAGATGTCACGCCCGTCATTTGACAGCTATTAGCATTAAAACCACAGCAGCTCACTGATTCTGAGCAAATCCAGCAACCTGAACAGACAATTAATTTTGTATCAGAAATTTCTGCAAGTTGCAATAAGTTTCAGTTAAGTTTTTTTTATAATGATTTAAATTCAAAACCTACATGAATCATCAACTTTAAAACCTTCATTTTGAATCCATAAACACAATCGGCTCTACTAATGTTCCTTTTTTCATGCTAAGCGATGCTTTCTAAAGATGAAGGAGCTGGTAGAACGTTTGGATTTACCTCAACTAAGCTGACAAGTTTCAGGAAAATATGTTTAAAGCTCTGAGGGGAAAGTTGCATGTCCTAAAAAAAAAATCCCCTCCGGCGGGGTTTAAAGCTTCCATGGATTATAGATTGTTTTCTCACTGCAAAATAACATCTGAATTCCTAAATCAGAACTACAACTCTTAAAACAGATTCAGACAAACGGAAAATATAGAAGAAATAGATAAATGAATGAAAATACAGTTTAAATAAAAGATTTAAGCCCAAGCAGGAACTTTCTTGACGTATTCAATAGTTTTAAGTCTTGCAAAAGGGCTTTTTTCTGGGTACTAAAAGCAACTGAATTAAACAGGAGGCTGTTTAGTCACCATGGGTCAATTTGTAAGCATCAGATGAATGTTTCTTATCCACTTTGCAAACTTACTATGTATTGAACATTCCTGTTTACTTACAAATTTCTACTGTAGGAAAATATGGTTTCATGACTCCAATAGATTAAATACAATGTAAAATAAACTCATTTGGTATGCCATCGGCACATGGGATTAAATTATTAGTTTACAAGATCCACTTGAAAGGAATCAGGGATTAAATTTTGATTTAAAAGAACAAAATGGGGGCAAATTAATCTGGAGTGGAAACATGCAACAATCATTGTTCTGGTTATTAACATGTATATAGAAACTCTTTGGGATTAACTTTTATATAAAAATAAAAGTATATAACAGCGTAAACACTATAAATATATTGACAAAATGTTAAAAAAACAAAACAAATAGAATTGACAGTAAGGAGCTGTGAATGGTGTACTGTATGGATCAGATCTTGTCAGATAGATGGTTTTGCTTTTATATACCTATTATTTAGCTCTGCACATCTGCATGGTGCAACATTTAAGATTAGCAATTATCATCTTTTAAATTAAAACCACTGTGTATAGAAATCTCAAATGATAATAAGAATATATATAAGCGACAAGATTGCAGAAAAACATTACTTTTTCTTTATATTTACTTTACAGTTGATCCAAAAAATGTCTTACATGGCATTAAAGCACCCATATCATTCCTTCTTTACCATTATTACCTTCTTCTGTTCAGCATTTCCACTTCCTTTCAGCACCATTTCTAACCCTAAACTGATCTGCATAGCAGTTTGGCCTCTGTACTTAAATACACCCGTATTCCCTCAGATGAATTAAATCTGAAGCGTATCTCTTCCAACCCCTCCTTCCCATATTTGCTTTGACTGTCACAGCATGGGGTCTTATCGCAGGGCCAAAAGGGAGAAGTTGCCTTGGATTTATGATTAAGGGAAAGGAACAGAAGAGGAAGAGCGAGATCAGAGCGATGCATTGAAGTTGCCTGTAATAAGCATTAAAGTATTACATGATATTAACCCTGTTAGACTATTAATGTGTGTAGGGTTTGAGGGAAAGCCTAATTATGATTGAGAGGAGGAGGGAGGTGAATTAGAGAAAGGGGATAAGCAGATATATACAGTAGACACACACATACACAGACTTACGTCGGGTCGCAGTAATCTCCTTATGGCATCAACCAGGCAGGCTCTGTACTGGTCGAGAAACAAACTGAAAGGGAGATGGAGGCTCAGGTTAGAATGAGTTCTGCAGATGGCAGTGCGGATAAAGCTGCAGGCCATTTATTTTGTTTTGTTTACAAATAAATTCACCAAAAGGAGAAAAACAATTTGCATGAGTAATTTTCTCTTGGTCTGTTTTTGTTGATTTTTCCTGAGCAGCCACCTCAGTCTGGTGTCGAGGCGCTGAAAGGAATAAGGAAACTATAAAGAAAACAAATCCAACATAAACCCATCATATCCTCTGCTGCAAAAAAAAACAAAACATGTGTACAAAGAGAGAGGCACAGCTTAATGACAGGAGCCCAGTAAGCACTTAAAGGTTAAACGTTAGCCTAATTAAAACAGTAGGAAAAAAATTGGACAGTTATGAGGGTATAGAAAAGTTTTTAAAAAGTTTCAAAATAAAAACTAAAATAAAAATCAAATTTAAAAAGGCAAATCAATAAAACTAATTCTGAATCAAAACCTAGAATACAAAAATAGAACAGATCGAACAAAAAAGGGAAAACCAACATCACTAAATAAGAACTGACCCATGGTTACCATAATGTGCAGTGCAGGTTTTTTCAAAAGTCAGTGTCATTGAGCTGCTATGTGATTAATAAACGTTTCGCTGCCCTTCAGCGGAAACAAAAAGCACACAAAGTACCTATAATTCCTTTAACCTCTTTATTCCAGGTATTTAAACCCAAGGACGTTTAGTGGATTTATTAAGAATCTAAGAAACATCTGATCTTTGTGGCTTTTCAGAAAAGTTGCACATTAATACAAAATACAGTTATTGAAATACATATCAAAAGCAAATATTAAATAATTCCACTCAATCAAAGTGTGACAAAAATGTTAAGACATCAAATCTTCAATGGCTGGAAGTAACCATTATTCCTGAGGTAACTTCAGGAACTTCCAGTTTTTTTGTGCTACAGATTTTATTTAAACATGGTGCTCAACATCACTTTAACACTCAGCATCACATAAAGCTGAATACCTTTTTTTAAACTCAAAGTAAGAATCATATTTGTTTTCATATTACAGACGACAGGTATAAAAGTCTGCTTTCATTATTAATAATCTTATTCTCTTAACGGTTTGAATTTTTGTCACCTTCATGGGCAAATATAAAAAAAAAACATAGAGGCTGTTATACCAAAACAAATTACAGAAATGATGAAAAATGCACATGGTTTTATGTAAATAATCAGTTTCTAACTAAAACAAAAACATCTTTATTATATATTAATAGAGGCTGGACTTTTCTACTTTAACCCAAAGATCAAGAACCAACACAGAGCTAAAACAGATTTGGGATGTAAACAAAAACATAACAGAGATCCCCAAATCACAATCATTCTTAACAGAATACCATCTGCCATCTACATACGCCGACATATTAAAGCTGTTATGTCACTAAAGTCAGTGTGTGCATGTGTGTATAGCTCTTATCGCAGATCAGAGGGGAGTAATTTGACTAAAATGCAACAATACAGAGCAGATTTGACATAATCCTGCACATCCGTCCACCTGGATAGCAGCGGGGAAATCTGTACTCTGCCCCTCCCATTAAGGTCTGCACCTTTCCTCATGAAATCCTCTGATCCAACTCAGGCTTGGAAGGTGCTCATACCAATGTTTCTCTGCTCTACCTAAGTATACACATGATTGTCATTTCCGGGTGTTTTAATCAGTCAAACATGTACCTGTATGTTATGCAGCTAGACAGATTCATTCATGTTGTGATCCATATTAGAGCATAGACAAAAAAAAGAGCAGGATGTCAGTGTAACGTGTAAAGTTTATTATCTTTTAAAGGCAGACAGAGGCATACAGTTTATTTGACTTGAAAGGTGAGAGGGTTTCCATTGGGTTTATTTGGCCACAGATATCAATTCACAGGAAAAGTGAGAGGCAAGGAAAACAAGGAAGTGAGCTTGTTGGGTGGAGGTAACAGCTGAGCAACACCCAAACACACAAACATACAGGCCAAGGAAAGGACAGAGTGTCATTCAGGGGGCAACGGTTTACCAGAAGAATGAAAGAGCTGCTTTCAGGACAAACAAACACTGATATTGGGATGAGAAATACAATGACTGCAGGCACAGAGATGGTTTCCCTTTATGATCAAGATTATTCCATCTTGTAAAATAATATTTAACTGTCTGTGACACACAGTTTGAATGTCAGGGTCATGCTCCCAAATTAAGTAGTCTTCCCCTCTGAGGGGGGTCACAGGTCACCCCGATGAACCCAGACAGTCAGGGCTCCATTGTCTCGCCATAACCCCTCCCATTTAGAGCGGCCCACTGAACTCCCGTCCGACCTGCCTGGAGGTCAAAGGTTAAAGCTGGTGTGTGAGACCGTGTCTGAGTATTGTTTCTATATTTGTCATCTTACTTATATGTCGACATATTTTCAAGATGCAGGGGTGAGAATGTGGAAATGAATGAAGTCATCTGTAAATGTTTGTTTCCCAGGATGTTAAGAACGCTGAATCTGTGACAGATAGTTAGAGATATTTCTGCATGAAGAACTTGAACACCGGTGCATTATATTAGTAAAGATGTTTTATGCGCAATTGTCCTGTTTTTGACAGCAACCCAGCAAAAGGAGCAAAGAGAGAAAGGGGAGCAGTTCAGTAAATGCTTGTGAAATGCAGTAGCATCAGTATGTGATGCATATAAAATACTTGCTATGCCATATTTTTAAACAACAACAGTGTCTTCAGTAAAGCCCGGCTGCACTGTGCAAGTTTCAGGGCGATTTTCTAGTCATGTGAGAATTTTCCGATTCGGCCGACTTTCAGCCTGACCGTGCGTCGTGTAGTGTACTGGGGTTTACGAGTGGCGATAAGCCTCTCACGACCACCTCCCAATCAGGAATCATGAACATGTTTGATTTTCTCCTGACCCTCGTGGGCAAATCGCTCAGGGCGCATGTGCAGAGAAGGATCCTTCTTTTTCTTCCTCTCAGATGTAAACACAGCAGCATGACAGGGATGCAATGAGTGAAATGCAGTTCTGCCTGTAAAATTGACAGACCGTAGTAGCCATGTTTGCTCAGCCATGTCTTTTTTTCAAATACGTTGTCGTCTTTTCTTTTTAGGACTTTCAGCACAAAATTGCACAAATTGACAATGCAGCGCGGTTCACTATAGTGTGCTTCATATTCCCCTTCTATTTGTTTTGGCTTCGGGATAGAGAGCTACAGAGCAGCTCCATCTCACTGCGGAGCTGAGTTCGACGTGCTTTTTAGTCGTACAGTCTGAGCAGGTAGATCGCATCAGAGCATCAGGCCGAACATAAATCGTAAGCTGTGAACTCACTACAACGAAACTGCGGTTAGTCGTACAGCGTGAGCAGTAGCTGCGTGCAACGATTGAAAAAAATCGCACAGTGTACGCCGGGCTTTAGAGGCTTCTCCAGAGCTGGTGCAAGAGAGACTGCTATAGAGGATCCTTCCTTCCCACACTTTAAACATCTGTTTGTTTAAAAAATAACTTATGAATTACTGCAACATTCAATTTCCCTTTGGAATTAATTAAGTATTTTCTTTATTTAAATTGAATAAGGGAACACCCCATTAGAACTTTTTTGTTGTGTAAATACAAAATGTGAATGAAGCTAGACTGCATTTTAGGATTAATGTAAAGGAAGATATGGTTTGAATGCAGTATCCTGTGTGCTCACCTATACCGGTAGGTTAGCAACAATGTTTGGTGAAATTAAGACTTTTAGCAGCCTTAAAGGAATAGTACACCCAAAACATGATTAGCCTTCATTTTCTACTCACCCCCATGCTGAACAACACCCTGGAGTACTTTTTTGATATCTCAAATGCATCTGGAGATCTGAGAGGCTTCTTGCTGTCTGCTGACATTCAAATAATGGAGGTCTATGGTGCCCGAGACAGAAAGGTCCATAAAAGTCCACAAAAAACGTGTCAATATTCCTCCATACTGCTCGTCCAATGTATTCCAAGTGTCCTGAGTGGATAGCATCCAGAATTTACTCGAAACGAAGTCATTTAGAATGTTTTTAGAGCATAAACATAAGTGTATAGGATTTCCTGAAAGCGCGCACCTGCGCGTTCACGACGCTACGGAAGCCGGCAGACCAAACCAGATGAAAGTGCGCATTCAGCGTCTGCTCTGCCGATAATGCAAGCGTAGAAGAAGAAATGTGCTGTTTACCTGTGCGAAGAAAGAAACAACGAAAGAAAAATGTCTGAGGACTTCAGTGTTGAGGAAGAGCATGAGTTCTTTGCTGAGCTGAATGCGCACTTTCGTCTGGTTTGGTCTGCCGCGGTTTCTGTAGCGTCGTGAACGCGCTTTTAGGAAATCCTATACACTACTGTTTATGCTCTAAAAACATTCTAAATGACTTCGTTTCGAGTAAATTCTGGATGCTACCCACTCAGGACACTTGGAATACATTGGACGAGCAGTATGGAGGAATATTGACACGTTTTTTGTGGACTTTTATGGACCTTTCTGCCTCGGGCACTGGGCACCTCCATTATTTGAATGTCAGCAGACAGCAAGAAGCCTCCCAGATCTCCAGATGCATTTGAGATATCAAAAAAGTACTCCAGAGTGTTGTTCAGCATGGGGGTGAGTAGAAAATGAAGGCTAATCATGTTTTGGGTGTACTATTCCTTTCATCCAAGTGCCTAAACACGCCTTCAGAAATGTAGGTTTTTAAAAACTTTGCATTATTAAATGTGCTGCATGCTGGTGCAGTTTGGTGCTATGTTGCCTTAAAGCAAGAAGAACCGGGGTAAAATTCCCAGCAAGGGGTCCCTCTGCATTGAGTTTGCACGTTCTTCTCGGTCAAATGTCAAAAGACATGGCTGGCATCTCTAAATTCCCCTCAGTGTGAACGTGTGTATGCATGGTTGCATGTGTTGCCCTGTGATGCCTGTCCATGGTGAACCTGCCTTTCACCTAGAGACTTCTGGAGATAGGTCCCCCAGGCACTGAACGTTTCCGACAGAGTGTGGAGCATTTTATACTCTACAGAGGTTTTCTCCACTGTACCCAGTATTCTGTTTCACAAAAACCACGAGGTTTTAACATTACTTTGTATCCAGAGGCTGAAAACAAACCTGTTTACAAAATTTTTCCTTGTTTGTTCATGTCAGCCGAGATGGACAGTAATTTCTCTCCAAGTGTTGTGAAATTATTTATGGGTGAAATTATAAGACAGCATTAGATATTTATATTTGAGAATCCTTCCCAGTTGTGGCCGTCATTTTGTTTGCCATGTCTTTCTGCAAAGAACTCTGAGTAGTCATAAATTTTCTGAAATCCGGAAGAGTGAAAGCTGTACGAACGGATGTGGATGCTAAAATGATGTTATTTAACCATTGGTGAAGGGCTGGCCTTCATGGATGCATCAAGCATAAACCAACCTTTAGTCTGTGTGCTAAGAATAGCAACCCTTTGCCCCCTTAACAAGTATACCAGCATACAATAATTCAAAACAGGACATAACACAGTATGTCTCTGTTGTTCTCTTTATCCTTTAAGATGATTTTTCTGAAAAAGAAAGATTGCTTAGAAATAATAATTTCTCTCCAATTATCCAATTTTTTAAATAAAACATGATTGAGAGGTACGCAAAGGACATTTCTGACATACTGATCCAACTTCTGTTGACTGAAAAGGTGAGCAGAGGTACAGCATGTTCTTTTTGGACAGTTATAATCCACAGCTTGTATTGTGTGAACATAGAAGGATAAACAAAACACAAAAGATGTTATTTTGTACCATAAGACATTTGATTTGTTTGTTCTTTATTCTTTTTCCTTTTATTTGACAACCAATTGCATTATGTTGGGTTATCAGTGCTAAATGCTCAGCCCATTAGTGCTTCTTGAGTCCAGTCCTCAAGAGCTAAATTAAATTGCTGCATTCCTTCATCGGCATGTCACTCAGCTCTCAAGGTCTGTTAGAAAGCTATTACTTTGTACCAAACAAAGACACATACAAAAACTCAAACATGAGGTCAATTAAGAGGTCAATTCAGCCTCTTTGATCAGATATTTATACCTTCTGTAAATATTCAGTTGACAAAATCACACAGAGTTTTGTATGCCAGTAATGCTTCTGTGGTTATTCCCACCTCAGTCAGCTTATTCTTATGTAAAACAATAAAAAGGCAATAATTTGTCCAAAAAAAAAAATAATATTTGGTACACACACTACCAGATTTTCTATGATGCAGACACATCAACAAAGCTTTATCTCAATGCCCACACACAAGCAGATTTTGGAGAAAGCTGACATTCCTAACATCCTAGCCAAAGATTCCTTGCCATCCACATGCCCAATGCAGGAATCCTGCTCTCTCCAGGTCTCTCTGCGTCTGCCAGAGAGACACAACCATAAATGTGAGGAGAGAGACAATGCTCCAACATTCTCGTGCCCACCGACTGTGAACAGATTATTATGCAGTCTGTATTGTATCCCTATGCACACTGAAATACCAGGCAAACGTCTTTTTAATTTAAACATAGAATGCTTCATCTAATATAGACACATTCACCTAAACGACCAAACTCTGACAGGCTTCAGGCTTGTGCAAACGGAACGTGAAACATGGTGAATTAAAAAGAGCCACTGTTGACAAAGTTTCAGTATTCTATTCATATCTATTCAAATCTACATATAAAGTGCAGCTTAAATTTTATCCTCAAAATTCAATGTAACTTTTTAAGAACACCTAAACAAAGAGATAAAGAAAATGGTAAGAAATGGCCTCAGCGCTGCCAGCTAAACCAAACTATCCCTCTACCCTCCTCCGTTCTCAGCAGTAGATCCACTGTAACTGGCGGGAGCTGTAATTAATTGGAGTGGAATTCGTCGCTGATGACCTTTTCGAAGGTGATCATCGCAATGACTCAAGCGTTAATTCGGCAGCCATCACTCTTCAGGTGCTGGCACTGCAATCACACAGTCGTTCACATGCATTTAGATGCAGGAAAGATTGCAGCACCACACAGAACAACAACTTCCAGCTCTTACGCACGCATGACTTCAGCGTGGAGTTCTGCTGTGATAAATGGGAAAAGAACCTGTAATATCAAAGCCTCACATTCAATTTACTGTGGTGTCAGAGATTCTGCTTCTGTCTGTCACATAATGCATCAGTCCGCTGTAAAATATCCTCTTTTAGCTGCTTGCAGTCCCTCTCTCTATGGGTGTTGTACCTGACTATTACCTGTAATGACCATGACATTAAAATAATGATAATGCCATTTGCTAATGCAGCACTTAGCACACATTGCACACACTTATGCAGAGAGATGCACACCCTTACGCAACCTGAATTTCTTCATTGTTTCTTCAGTTGGTAAATCCGCATCCATCTAAGAGTTTTAATACAGCTGCCCACATCAGGAATGACTTCAACGATATTGCTGGGACCATCCTGGGTCTGAAAGAAGACAAAATGCTTATGAACACTGCTACACTGTCAATAAAGATAAGATAGATCATCTCTTCAGTGAGTTCTGGGACTGCCCTCAGGGTCTCATCTCTGCAGGATGTGCCAGGGGGACCTTTAAAGGGATATACTCAGGAGGCATCATGATCAGATTGCCGAATCCCTCAAAGTTCTCCTTCTGATGTACAGAAGAAGCAGCTCCACTCCAATTTTGACTGAGATGACCGTCCTATTCACCCTGGTTGTAACCAGGATCTCCACTCCAAAAAATTATTGTTTCATTACTCCTAATCTATTAAACAGGGCAAGAGAAAGCCTGGAACACTCTTAAGCACAGTTGAACATGCAATTTTCCATGCTTCAATGGATACAAGTAATTCTGGCAACCTGTATGCCTAGATAACCCCACAAAAGTCCTTAGGGGACAATCCTTTGGCTTTCTAAGATTCACAAACACCCCGCATGGTCTAAGCAAACAAACTGGGCAAACAACCTTCTTATGAATTCAATGAAGCTAAAGATCAAATCCAGGGTTCAAAGCTGTGTTCAGTAATTAATACAAGACTCCTTAAATCAAACTTTCCTATAGAGGCTGAGAAGTGTGATAGTGTCTCTCTTTCCATAAAAATTCTGACCATGACTCTGGTCTGAAACTCTGATGGTCAATTTGCCATAAAGTTCTTTAGTATTTCACAATTAATCTAATGCACTTATAATATCTCCCCTCCCACTCCAATCATCAGACAATATCGTCCTCTTGTCTCTTCAAAGACGGAACAAACTAATGCAGGAGGTGTAGGTTCAAGATCTCCAAAATATGGTTCTCTTTGACACTCACTCTGATCACTATGTGGCATTCCTAAGCCTCCATTGCTATCAAAATTTTTCACAGTTCATCCCCTCTCTTTATCCATTTTGATCCAAGAAAATCCAATGATACAATAATATAACCTTTTTCTCTGTTTGGCAAAAAGGAGCAATACGAGCCCTGAGATTCTAATCGCACAGAAATCCAATAAAATACAGTGAATTAACCTTAAAAATATCAGAACTACAGTTTTTAGTATTTATTTTACAATAAGAGGCAATTAAATGTTAATTATATAGGTTTGTTTAAAAAAAAAATTTACGTAAAGGTTAGTGCTTATGGGTAACGAAAATCCAAGAACTATGAATAGAAAATTGCAAGGCATGGATGCAAAACAAGGGTATGGATGGTTAAGGACCCATCAGAATCCCCTATCGACCATTAAACCCCCCCAGGCGACCTCCATGGCCCATCCAGTGGAAGTAACAGAGCCACCTTGTGCTTTGTTTCTTTTTCAAAGCAAAAGGTGGCTCTTTTCTAATTCTTTTTTAAAACTACACTATATTAATATCAGTGCTCCCACCCACCAGTTAGAATTGAGGAAGCCTATTGGATGACAAGCGAAACATCATCTAGAAAACTTCACATCAAGTTGCCTAAACTGACCTTTTTAAACTTGACCATGACCTGGATGACTGAGAATCTTCACCGATAGAAGGTCTACATTGTCAAATTGACCTCGAAGTCATTTTTTGAATTGGAATAGATTTGTTTTTTTTTTGCTAAATACAAAATCGCCAAGTTTTTTATTAATCAAGAACACCGCTGTTACAAAAAAGAAATTTAACCTGATATCACAATGCAAAGGTATTCATATAGCACACAAAAAAAACAGATGTTGAGCAAAGTGCTTCATTTCGGTCAAGCAAAAAAGTTAAACAGTTCAAATAGGAATAAGAACAAATCAATGATTCTATAATATAATAAAATAAATTACATTTTTTTCAATAAATCCTCCTCTAAATTCACTTTCTTTGGGAATGTTTGTTTTGAATAATGCAATCATTAAGGAATACATTTCAGTAAAGAAGCAAGGATTTGTTTCTGGATGCTTACAACATCTCCATTTTACTATCTGATAGGCTAATTGTTGTGGTTATGTTGCTCCATCTCTCCATTTCCATCTCAGTTTCCACTCCTCCCTGGACTCTTCCTTTATCTTACCGAGTCTCCTTTCTTGTCAAGGCACAATTATTTGCAATTTGCCTAAGTCATCCATTTACTGGGACACTAAGCATGAAAACGAGGCAATTTGGTGTAAAATGGATGCATGGGGGCATCGGAGCATGTGCATACGTCTGTGTGTGGCTGGATCAGTGAAAGGTCCAGGGACAGGTGGGGGTTTGGGGGTGGGGGCACGATGCAAGGTCTGTCATACCAAAGTGAGACTGAAAATCAGAAGCGGACACATGCAGAGATAGATCTGTGAGCGCGTGGTTGAGCGTAAACCTACCAGTCTGCACACATGATGGTATCAAAGTGACCTTCCAGCTCTGAAATGTCCACCTCAGAGTCCCATCTAACCACCCTGGAACACACACATGAAGCGGAGACAAAAGTTCAGTATTTGGACAAGTGGTGTAACAAAGACAACCAGCCCTGATAAAACCCAGCATGTAGAAAAAAGCTCTTTGTCTTCTCTCCCTCCATCTTCACTGCTCTTTTCCTCTTCAGCTCTGAGCCTCTTGCCGTCTGACACCTCGCTCTCTGTGACCCCCACTGTTCTTCTGCCTCAGTAGAGACTTAGAGAAAGCATCGGAGAGGAAGACATGTCGTCTTAGGGATAAAGCAATGGAGCTTCTGACATGACACTTGACATTTATACCTGGTGAACACACGCATACAGAGAAAAGCCCACCTTCTTACAAGGTACTTTTCAAGCCCTACTTCTATTTCTTATTTTTTTCTGTTTCTAAGGACATTTCCAAGAAAACAAGCTCTGAGGCAAAAAAAAAAAAATAGGAAAGAAAACCAAAGTAGCTGGAAATATAAATGTTTAATATTAATGAGCATCATTAATACATTTTCTTCATCCCACTACCTTTCTTTTTTTTTATTATTACTTATATAATGGCCCGTAAGTTTAAATTGATGAACTGGCATTTCCATTTGTGTTTCAATGTATGTAAGGCCAGAAATTGATTAATAAAAACATTTAAAAAAAAATATGATCACAGTATCCACAGAACAAACAATAAATGATGAAAAAAGGTGCATGGTTTTGGTTTTCATTTGATAAATTCACTGAGTGAAGGACATAATCCAGTTTAATTACACTTAGACGTGTTTTCAAGTTTTTTTTTTTTAAGTCCTCTACTTGTGATTATCTATTTGAAAATTTATCTAACTCTAAATTTGGCAGGGGTATAAGTGCATAACTTGTTTTCAACTTCCATAACCTGATGACCATATGAGGGAAGGTGCATGACTCTATATTCTGGCCATGCTCACGCAGACATGAGAGGGAGCTATAAATTTACCTGTAAATTGGGTTAAAGTCTGACTAATCTGCTAATTGGACCCCCAGCAGCTTTTTGGCTGTTTCATTGCAATCTTAAATGTATTCCACTTGTTATGTCTGATTTCTGCAACCTCACACATACAGGTTGTAGGATGAGCCTGAACATAGCCTGCCTCTAAACAGTCAGATGCAGAACCAAATTTTTACAAAAAAAACCAACATTGTTGTTCTGTAATAAGATAACTTTTATATCAAAATTGATGAAATTGAAAGTAGGAAATTCCACTTTCTGCTGCAGAAATCCGCCTTTAAACAGTGTTCCTGTTTTCTCCTGTCGTGTGAGCTGAGCTTTCCTCTTCCCCTCTTTTTTTTTCCTCGCCACTTTGCCTTTCTCTTTTTCACACTGTCAGACAGATTGGGGGATTATTAATTAGGCATTTTTAACACTCAGTAAACAAAACATTAGGCCCTGCTAGAAATACAATCTCGATTCTCAGCTGGAGGCCCCAACACACACGCTCAAACATATGCATGAGTGTGCAAACGACATCGCGCGACATGCCCCTCCCTCTCCATCCCCTCGTACAATCGCATCATGCCCTTCGCCCTCTCTTGCAGCGCGGAGATGACAGCAGGCATAATCTGAAAAGAAAACAATCAAAGTAATGTAGCCTAATTATACGTTTACTTTTTCACTCCATCTACCACTCATGTAAATACGCTCAGGAGAGAGGAGCGGAGATGCAGAGGGAGAAGAGGCAGGGGAGCAAAACAGTCAGTCATTGGAAAATGCTTTTTTGAGACAGGGGCGACAATTAGGTTCATTTTAGCCTGTCCTTGCATATAAGGAGTGTGTGCATGTTTTCTGGACCATTGATTCTCGTCAAAAAGGGTCATTTTTCTTTGATGATCCCACGCACATGCTTAGACTTTAAAGCTGAATAATTAGCTTACAGCAAGTCAAATCTGACAGTTTAAAACAGAGAGATATCAGTTCAAGTTGAATATCTAAAGAAACTCTATTTTCCACCTTATGAGTGGTTCAGATACAATTTACAACGACGCACAGACCAATTCATTGAAACCACTGCAGATATCTAAAAATCAGATTCATTTATTTAAAACCCACTCCACAGTTTATGGAGTCAGCCAACCATTGTAGTAAACACTTTTTTGGAGCGTGTTCAGAGACTAAAAACGTTAAACTAAAATATTTTGGCTTTTAGCTTTTAAATATTAGAACATCTATTTTAACACAGATGCTGAACATATCACTATAGCAGTATACATTTTTATATCTATCATGGATTAGACAAACACTAAGTAGAGTCTTATAACAAACAAAGGAAAATGACACATGAATTTTGGGGTTTTCACAAAAGAAAAGCTATAGAGTTGGATCCGTATGTTTTGTTTACGCAGCTCCATCATTAGTTATATCTGATAGTCTGTGTGTGAATATTTCTATGGGCTTTAATTATCATGACTATGAATTTTTTTTCCTTCATTCCTTTTCAAACTCCTGTAAGATTGGATGAAAAGATACTTCAAAAGATTCTCAATTCGGAACTTTTGCTCTGTGTCGAGTTTTTATTTCACTGTTTGTTTAAAACACGAAAGTGAGCATTTTCTATAAAAAACAAGATTTTCTCAAAGGTCCCGGAGTGTAACAGTGTGAAAACGTCTTGGTTTCTGATGCTGTGTGGACAGGATAAACGGAAACTTCCTGTATACAGCAGCCCTGGCAGAGGCGCTGTATAACATAGTCGTTGGCGCTCATTTGTATGTACGTGCATGATGAAAGAATTAATCTAAAAGCGGCAGTAGGATCGCAATTGGTCACCTCTGGCTTACAGTGTTGATTTTCTTCCTAAACCAACTGGATTAATGGACTGCAAACTAATGGTTATTCTTGCATCAGAGCTCCTGGTTTATGCAACTCCTGATTTTCTCGATCTTTTTCCTGCTGGATGGGGGCTGGATGAATATCCTGGGAGTTCTGGGATACTCTGTTAAATAATAATTTGCGTAGGAGCTACATGAAATGTTCTTGGTTCCTCAATGGTTCCTCCCTTAACTGTCTGCTGTGTGTTTTTTGTTTTCAAAAGACTGCTTGTTCGTTCATGTTAACTAAACACATGCATTTTGACCGATAGTTGTATCCTATTTACTGAGGTGAGAACATGAAGGCAGTCATTGCACTGTTTGAAAGGGCCTGGAAGAAAATGCAAACTCTTTATGAGGCGACTTTGTTTGCTTTATCTTCCACTTAACATTTGCTCTGCAAATTGTGTTGGTTATGTAGAAGAAAAGCAAAAAACTATAGGTAGCCCATAGATATAAAAAGTCTTACCTTGTAGAAACAAGCGTTGACCCAAATTTTCCAGCTTGTTTGTTTCTCTCTATCACTCCCTGTACATCTGAAGTGGCAAAATCAAGGAGATTCATCCTTCACATGAACTGGATTTAAATTCACCTTACAGGGGTTAGAAATCAGGATACACACAAAAAATAAAATAATTTAACATTTAATTCAAACCAATACGGAACTATTTATATTTGTTTAGTGTAGTAGTGATATCATATGAAAAGTGGGTGTTAGATGGGTTATGACATGTAGCATATGGTCAGATTTAAGATTAAGGTGTACTAATTTAAATGTTCATCCTATTTTTGTTGAAAGAAATAGAGATGCACTGATCTAGTTTTTTGTGAACCGACCAATACTGATACCTGGGCAGAGTGTATTGGCTAATATCGATAAAGATCCGATTCAGCTGATGAATGAATGAACTGTATATCTGGCCATGTGTGTGTCAGCTTTAGCCTTGTCATAAACATTCTCTAAAAAAAAAGGTAACAAATGAAAACAAATACATGTATTTTATATTATCTATTAAGAAATCAGCAGCAAAAAGAAAGACATAACAATTCTTTGTAATGTGCACTGGATTGGAGTCTGATATCCAATATCAAATCACTGATCCAGCGAATACGATGCAGGTATCTGATCAGCATCTCAAGACAGAAGCCAGAAAATGGGACAATAGTATTTGTTAAAAGTTAAAACCTTTTTCCCTGGCAATACTGTTTTTGAATGGATTAATTAATTATATGCAGCACACCCACTGGAAATAATTTGATTAACACATTTGATACATTTTATCAATGTATCAACACACATTTTTCAAGATAATGGAGAAAAAATCACCAACTGCTTTCACATAACATACATATTAGCATCTCCATATAAAATCTGCTAAATCAGCTCTTTATTTGTGTTGCTTGGGTTACGGTTATTCTAATATGATCTTTATTTTAAATGGGGATGCCAAGTTGCTACAAAGGGTATGAAAAAACATAGAACTGAAGAAATATGGGAAATGAATAGCATGGTAAACACCCACATGGAGGAAAGCATGAGTGAGCAGAAATGATCTACGGGGATAAAGTGCTACATCCCAGCTGCTTCTTGCTGGATCAATGGAAAGGCTTTTAACCAAAGATAGAAAAAAAAAACACCCTGACACAAAAAGGCAGGGTGATTGATGTCAAGTTGTCTATTAATACAGCGACTAGTGGAGTTGTAAAGCAATTCAATTAGGATTTCCTTGTCTTTAAAGCCTGCAAAGGACTAAGACAAATCCAATTGACAAAAGCACAAGAGAAGAACAAGAGAGATAGATGAAGAGAGCCGGAATGTGATAAACTGATTGATGAATTGATAGCTGTAAATCTGTTACAGATCTCAGAGGTCTCTCACATAGAACGACACTAATAAAATACAGGGTATGCATACGCAGAAGCCATTGAAGATGTGTAAATACATGTTATTTTGAACAAAATCCAAAAACCTGTGCAGAACTGAGTTAAACATGAGCATGAGCATGAGCAGAGGGCAGAGGAGCTGCCAGTAATCTCGTCATGCTAACACCACTATGGAAAGGTTTATTCACGCACCTGTCTTTAGCAGCAAATGGCACGAAAAAAAGAAATAAAATAAAGATTTAAGTGGGGGAAAAAATGTTTTCTTCCATCACTTTCGGCCAAGGAGCAGCAACCAATGACATGCATCAATCATGCTTAATGGAACATCTCAATTGATTTCCAACATGAGTATTCAAGGTCAGAGCTGCAGCAGCTTCTGCTCTCTTTCCTGTGTGGTTGTGGAGGATTTTCAACAATAAATTAGGTCAATAACGCCTAAGAAAAAGGTGAAAACTATTCTACCAGGGAAGGTAATGATTCACAAATGTCATCACTTCACAAGTTTGTGCTTCTACAGTATATCCTCTAATCTATTTCTCTATATAAAGCTGAACCCTATCACAACCCGTCATCACTTTCCATTCTAACACCAGGCACAAAGTAAGGCCATGTGAGATAAACAGAGACCTTTAGGACACGGTTTAGACCCCAACAAGAGGAAATACCACAAAGTGTGTGAATGGACCAATTTGGCAGAGTCCAGGACAAATACTGAGCCTTTCTCAGCAACACCCCCGCCACTTCTCCTGTGTATTTGCTCCATTTTTGCTCTGAATTCACTTACAATTCTCTCCGAGTGTTTGTTCTAGGAAACAAAGCACCCGGTCAATGGTGTATTGTTTGTGTGTGCAAGTGTGTGTTTTACAGTCTCCAAAATGTTATTGTTTGGTCTTATTGTGATCAGTAAAGGAGCATTGTAGCCGGCTGGGATAGAGATATTGTAAGCAATGCTAAATTTGGAAGAGTCGCATCGGTCAATGGGGAAGAAATGTGTATTTAGATTTCCTTCGTTTGTTAACAGACTGTAACAAGCTTCTTTTTCTTGCTTGTGCAGCTGCCTATTGATTAATGCAAGATCTAAAAGGATTACAGCCAAAGAAATGAAGTGAAACGAATGAAGATAAAAAGGAGGTTTTTAAACACAAACTGTGATGAAAAGAGGACCATGTCTTTTCATCAGGCTAAAAGAGTTGATCGATATCCCACTTAAAAATACTTTTTTTTTTTTGCCAAATATATCACTTAAATGTTTTTTTCCCCAAAAATAATTATAGCCCTATACTTGAAGAACAGAATTTTATACAAACCTCAATTGTTCTCAGATGAAAAGAACACATCGAGCTCTCGCCCTAACCTCAGCATTAGATAAATTCTGAAACTAAAACTGACAGGACGGCAATTTATGTGCTCTTAACTGGCTCTGTGGCAGCTAGGAGTGGTAGCTGCCCCCTCCTCTGATTTAGTCACAAAATAAATGTGGTGGCCCAGCTTTTCTTCTGCACTCCAATGCAACTCTTAAGCAAATAGCTGAAATGTTTGTGCCTTTCAGCAAACAGCTGAAAGACACAAAATTAAAGACAAACATTTAGGTTTTAAAAAAAAAAAAAAAAACATAATTAATAGTAGTTTATTGTAGGTTTCTAATTATAATACTTTATTTTCTAACATTAGCTGGATAAGGTAATTATGTCAAGTGTTGTAGTATCAGTTTCACATGATGGTACATTGTTGCAGTCATTTTTGACAATAGTTTTTATTATGCATATGAGGGATGATCTTAACTGACCACCAGAATCATAAATCACAAGACAAGTCACAACTATTTTGGTTGTGATGTCAGATTCACAACTATAGATTTGTTTAAGTTCTTGAAAAATCTCTGCATATCTTCATGTTTGAGGCTTGAACAACAGACTCTCTGCATTATTTTATCAATGTATTTAATCGTTGTGTCCCTTGACAACGAAAGTTTAGTTTGTCTGACTGCAGTAAAACAGCTGGGTGCAACTGAAAAACATCATTTATAAAGTTTACGTTAAAGAGCCAAGTTCATGCAACAAAACAACAGACTCTCCTGTAAAAAGGAAGCAACTGACAGGAACAGCAAATCAAGGGCTGGTGCTAATCAGAAAACAGATTGCTTTAAAAACAAAGAGCACTATACGGACATACTGATGCAAAAACTAAAAACAAAAGAGGCAAATATTGGTCTTCGAAATGGATAATAATCTTAAACATAAAAACCAAATCAGTTAATAATTAGCCTAAAAACAACCAAGTCAGTGTTTTAAAGCGGTCATAACAAACCCTGAATTCAATAAAATAAACACTTTAGGGTGCATGTAAGTGAGGCGGAATTCAAACCTGACTTAGTTACACTACCTCTGTAAGGAAGAATGGGTCAAACTTACAATAAACTATAAAGTATAGCTGATATAAAGTAAAGACAATAATGTAATGTAATGTAATGCTTATTATTGGATACAAACCCTAAGAAGAAGGAGTTCCAGTTTCTAAATATTGTAGCCAGATTTTAATAAATTCAAGGATAACGTTTTATCTTTACCATAACTAATGCACTCATCTTACTGTGAAGAGAGCAGGCATACATTTACAAAGACTCCTTTCAAAACCGTTTTTACACTTAATGACCAGCAGTACAAACATACTGATCATTGCCTGCTTTTCCATAATGTCTGATAACCAAGCAGAAAAGACAACAAAACATCCAGACTCTGAAACAGAATAGCTCCAACCAAACCTGCAGGACCTTGAATTTGATTGTTTCTTGTTTTGGCTTCAAACCCTCTCAGTGTCAGCTGGAGACCACAGATCAATAAAACCAAGGAGATAACATCAGCTGTAATACGTTTTTAAACTGATAAAAAGGAAATATTTCATAGGGCCTCTATGTTAGCAGTGAGATTTTCATGCAGACATAAAGAAAAAAAAAATTTTTTCCCTTTAGAATGTGTACATTTTAATCATAGAAAAAACATTCCTGCACATGATAGACTATCTAGATTTTTATCTGAAGGACATCGAATCAAACACTAAAATGAAGGACAAAAGAAAAAAAGGTTTTACCGTAGCAAAATATGTATGATCGCACATGAATAAAAGTGAGCTAATGGAGCAAGGCAGCGATGGAGAGAAAAAGAGAGAAGTGAGGTACGATGAAAGGATACTCTGAATGGACTTCTCATTCCCATCTGATAGCAGAACTTCCTTCACGTCAGCAGAAATGGCAACCTGAGAGCCGGGTAGACAGGAAAGAGACGGAGAAATTAAACAACACGGAACAAAAGAAGAAAACCAAAAGCACTGTTAGATGAAGCAAACATCTGAACGCACGCACACAGTAAAGACATAACCATATCTACAAAGCTTCACTCCTGGCAGCGCGGTCCACGCCACCCTTCCACTCTCCATTTCTCCCTGCCATTTTCCTCTCTATCTTCACCCCATTTTTATGTCTGCATTATTTTAATCATTCAATCAAATCAGTCAATACTTTTATCATTGTGGCTAGCGGTGGGGGCCTGCTATCTTGCTATCACTCTGTTCAGTAATTGCATTGTGACAGGGGATGATGGCAAGCGCAGAGCCTTTTCATTTGACGCTGGGTGTTTATCAGGCCGAGCCATCACTCCGTTCGCCGCTGTCACTCTGCACTCGGCTCGCCAGGCCTGCCTGATGCCCTTCATATAACTTTGCAGAGCAGGCTGCAAAAGACGGAGAGAAAGAGATGGAGGAAGTGGAGAGAATGGAGAGCTCCCACGTTTTGATGCGTGTGAAGGAGATGTAGATAGGGAGGGGTGTGTGTTCTGGTATAAACTCAGCTTTTGACATTCTCTTTCTTTATAAATGTCTTTTTTTATATCAGCAAGTGTATGTCAGGCTGCTGGCTTTTGTTAAAGACTGTGTTTGCCTCTTAGGGTGGGTCAGATTTGTTGGCAACCCTGTTAAAAGATGTTTAAAAAATGACAGAAGACATTTCTTTGACATTGCTGTAGTTCTTTGCAGAATGTAGCATTCAATAATGTCAGAGTTTTGGGAGTTCTTAATAAAACAAAGCTAAATACATATTAACTTCCAGATTACAGATTGGGGTTTTAAGGTTGGATAAAAACATAATTCTGTAATACTTGTAAATCACATGAACGACAATCTCTTAATGAATTCTGGCACATCCCACTAAATGATTTGGCCGCCCAAAAATGCTACATTTGTTTTTGCATTTCTTTTTTCTCCTCTGTCTTAGATGTGCTGTTGTTCGTCCTGCTAGGTTTTTTTTGGCTGACTTAACAAATGCCCAGTTTGGATAGCCAGATGCCTTAAGTGATTTCCTAACAAGTTTGTGTTACTTTTGTTTCTCCTCTGTAATTGAGGAGATATCTTTAACCCTGTAACTCAGACTTCTGATATCAGAAAGTTTATGTTCCAGTATTGGTCTGTTCCATCTACCTCTGTATTAAGACTCCAATTGTCCTTAATGTGCAAAGCACTGTCCAGAAAAGGCAACTTGTTGTTTTTGGCACCTTCTCTACATAACTTGTTATATCTGTCCACTGAGGTGATGCGATTAGGAATGTCTAATTTCCTGGGTTTGAATTTTGACCCAGGTGTAATCTACATATCTGAGCCAGTGACTTGGTTGTGTTTGCTTGCATATACTGAAAGCTCTGCTCTCCAGGTCCTCCATATAGATGTTGGCAACAATGGGTGAGACTGGGGAGCCCATGGCCCGACCATGTTTCTCGCAGTAAAAGCTATCACTGTATTTGAAATATCCTGCTAATAGGCAGAGGTCAACAGGTGACAAATGTGATTATGTGTTAAAAGTTTTCCTGTCTTTCATGGTTCCATCATGTTTCAGTTGTGTCCTGACTAGGGTTGTCACGATACTAAACTTTTCAACTCGATACCGATACTAAGGAAAATATTCGATACTCGATACCCTTTTCGATACCACAAGGATAAAAACAAAGACTCTAAAATTCAACAGAAATATCTTCATTACTAAAAAAATACAATAAATAAATAAAAAACAAGAATAATATTTTGAGGTTGTATGCTGTGCACAATATTAAGCAAGTTTGATAAAAAACTTACGAAATTAAAATTAAGTGTTCCTTACTTGGCTATGCTTTACACACATAACAATGACGTTAGCCAAACCGGTTAAACAAAAATAATTCTCAGCAGCTGCACCTGTTACAAAAAAAGTCTGAAACAGAAAAGTGCACAGAATTATTGTTTCACACAGTGTTCAGAAAGTGCATTTTCCACTATTCTACACTTTAGATGGCTGGATCGATACTTTTGAAAATGAGTATTGTATCCGGATACAACGTTTCAGTATCGATACTTTGTTGAGTATCGATACTTTTGACAACCCTAGTCCTGACACTGTTCATCTCCTCAGATGTGGGAATGCAGGTGAAGAGAGAGTTACATCTAAATAAACAATAGGTTCACATGGAGCCATTCTCAAAAGCCAGACTTTGGAAATAAAGTCTATGGAGTCTGGATGCCAACATTTTTTGCAAGATGTTTTGCAATGTTGTGTCACCAAGTTAATGCTGATGATAATGTGTCTGAGTGGAATCCCTTCCTTGTGTATTTTTGGAAGACCATGTATGTATGGTATGACCTTCCATGTGTAAAGTTTATAGTATAGAGAGCATCTGATGGCTTTCTCTGTTTCCAGATTTTGGAGATTGTCTGTTATTTCATTTTTATAGATGTTTCTTGGGTCCCTTTCAGGGCCTCATTGGTTTACCTCGACCACCTCGGGGACACAAGCCACGATACTGTCTGCTGATTTCAGTTTGAACATGATTTACACAGACCTCCTCAGTCAGAGCCTCACCAGCTTCCTGAATGATTAGCAGCAGTAACTGAGGTTAGGAAACATTTCCAGCCAACGAGACTGGAGCCCCCCAGGGGTGTGTTCTCTCACCACTTCTATTCTGTCTCTGCATGAATAAATTCAACTCAGCAGACCATTTGCTGAACCCCCTGATGGTAAATGACATCACTGTCATTGATGTGATCCAGGAGATGGTCCTCACAGATAGAGAAATTAAATTATACTATTGAGTGTCTATGAGGTATTCCCTAACAAAAGCTCATGGTGCACAAGATTTTTCCAAAAATCTGTCAAACTGATATGGTGTAAATTGAATCACTCCTTGAAATCAAGTTCTTAATAGTTGATGATACCTAGAAAATAGCTAATTACAGTATCAGACACAGGTTTCTATTTCAGTCCTATGTCTTTTTTCCTATGTCTATTTCAGAGTTCCACTTAATAAAAAAAAAAACTTTGTCCTTTTTTGTATTGATTTTTTTTTCTTTCAAATATCAGAAATGCTTCAATTCAGCCGTTGTGCTAGAAAGGAACAACAAATGTGAAAAAAAAGTTACAAGATTAACAACAAATGTTTTGTTTCACTGTATGTCAAAGACCTGTTAAGATACAGAGGTTTACGGTTATTATGAAAGACAGATTTGTGGGGGTGGGGAAAAAAAGGTCTTATGATCCTATATTTTACTGCTACAATAACCCTGAGGTTTAAGCTGTAACTTCACCATGTTTGGGATGATCCTTTAAGAAAAAAAAACAAGAAAATGTGGGGAAAGTGGTGTCAGTGACGGATGAAGGCGGGAAGAGGGGAGGAAGAGGTGTGAAGGAAGGATTCCATCTCAGGCCACCAATGTCAAAACATGGTGTATTGACCGCCAAGAGATAAAACTCTGCGTTTTACACGCACACACTCATTGGCATCCAACAGATCGATGGGACACCAAAGCCTGCTATGTGGAGGGCCCCTTAAGACTCTGACTAATAAGCCCTATAGCTGACAGACTGCAGGGTATCTCCACATGTGTGTGGAAGAGTGTATTAGGCATCCAAATGCTTGGCAGCTTTTAAGTTAGCAGGTTTGTTTTTTGAGGTGTTATTGTTTTGGGAAAAATATGTTTTTATGTGTTTGATTTAAATTGTATTTTATGAAAAATAACTCAAACTAAATCTTCCCCATGTGAAACACCCTAGAAGAGCCTATAATGGTTTCCCAACATAATCAAACATGTAGATACTTAATTTTATTTTCAGCAATAACTTATAAAAAAAAAATATATATATATTGTAAAAGGAAAGAAAATGCAATTTCTCCAGAAGAAAACATTTAGAACACCCTGGCAATATTAGGTGCATCACATGTGCACATAATCAGATCATTCCTCAGCAGTTTGAAGGATTACTCTTGTCAAAGTTCATAGTTTGGGGCTCCTGACTGCTGAAGTGAAAATAAACACTATTATCAAATATCAGTTGAAGCATTTCAAAAACAAGATATCAACAGTTTACCAGTGTGCTAAAAGATTGAAATAAGCCATTGGAAAAAATAAAATGCAGCATCCAAATAACCTCCTGTAGTGAAAAATGGAGGTGGAAGTGTCCAAGTTTAGGATTGCTGTACAACAGCAGGACCTCATCAGCACCATCACTCTACTGCAATTCAATTTACGTGGGGGAAATTTTTGAAAATCTATAAAAACCTCAAGCTGAACCTGAACTTGAGAAACAGGACAAAGCCCAGAAAGTAACCTTAGTGCGAAGCTATGGGGTGACTTTAAACTGACAACAGTTCAGAGGCAAAGTCAGGAATGGGCAAAACCTTCCTAAGACTAAATACAGAAATTGATAAATGGTAACATCAGGTGTATTTTAGCTGTTGTAGGTAAAAACAGCTATTAGGTGTTATATTCTTTCCTAACTTTTCCAATTAGAAAACAAATTTTCTGTTTATATATTTTCTTAAATACACAAAATGAGGTTTAATTGTAATAATGAACCAATTTTTTAGACAATAAAAGGACTTGAAATCCAATCTGAATTCTTCTCAATAGAGAAAATACAAAATGGCCTGACCTTGCTTTTTTAAATCACTGATAGATGATTTTATAGCGTTGAAACTAAATATTCCCATTATAGCTGAGTAGTACCAAAGGACCAGCTGTACTGCATTTATTGTGAATTTAAATTTACACATTTTAGGTCTTTTAGTTTATTGTGTTTTTTTTTAACACTTACTCTTTCAAAATTACTCATCTTTTCACTTTTTAACCAGTTAACATCAATTAATAATTTCTGTATCCAAGAAGAAGACAACCAGCCAGAAGCTACGATTGTTCATAATCTGCTCCTCCAATCTGGTAGCTAATCCTCAACACAAAAGAGTTGCTTTATTAAACTAATGTGAGTGAAGCGTTTGCATACAAATTTTGCTGAAGGTTGGCAAATCTAAAAACGCATTCCAGCACCGAGGAAGTAAATGACTGAGTCTGAACAGATAAGGATACTGGGGGCTCATAGTGTGTGGATATTGATTGTTCCTGATTAGTTTTATTAGAAAAGCCCTCACAGAAGGCCTCTTTTGTGCGCATGTCTCACTTACCATTAGGCCACCAAGACAAGTCATCCCTCCTCCTAACTCGCACACTGCACCCCTGGGAGACAAAGAGAAGGAAAAGGAGAGTCGAGATTCACTTTACTGTGGCAAAAAAAACGCAGTTTAGTACTAACATACACACGTGCTGTACAGTAGATCTGCACAGATACGGAGACTCCCCAGCATACTACCCTACCAGCACACGCAGATACACAAACAGTAAACACAGCAGGGTGAGAAATATCAATTCAACCATCAACTTGAAAGCTGAATGCTGAACACTGAGAAGCACAAGCTCAATCAGCAGGATATCTGAGTAGCAACACACACACAGAGTCCTGCAGCTTGTATGCTCATTCAACCCCTCTCCTCATCCTCTTCCTCCTTTCATCTCTCCAGCCCCTCCATCTCTGCCCCTGTCCTCTTTCATCCCCCTCTTCGCCTCCCTCCCCTTCCCGCTGACCTTCACTACGCTGCTCTGATCAATAACCCTCTCCTCGTCGCCTCCCGCCTCTTGAATGTTAAAACAGGAAATCAAAGGGTGACGTTCCACCTTGAGTGGAAATCAAAAGTGCCTGGACGCTTTTCAGCCGTGTGCCACGGGGCAGCCTGAAGCTTAGCAGACAACAAGACTGGGAAAAGAGCAAGAGGTTCTGGTGTCAAAGTGGTAAATGTTTACAAGAAATAAACGCCTATTCTAAAAATATATGGAAAATCTTATAGAGCGAAAATCCCTTGGGTAGGCATGAGCGTGTATGAGGATTCTCACAGTATGATAAGATATGATGGTTCCTGGCATTTAAGGAAAAATATAAACATAATTTCATTTGTTTTATTCAAAACAGGAAAGACACAATTTGTACTTCTGCTAAAGGCGACAGGAATAAGATGGCTTTATTTGTTCCCATTGGGAAATTCATAAGCAGCCTTGTCAGCAGGCATTTACATAAAAAGACAGCAGCGTGGACACAAAAACACATACAGACATGCAAAGACAAAACCAGCTGTAGTTTTCCAGTAATTTTATCATGATTCTGTTCAGTTTAACATTTTAACTGTTTGTAGTGTGAAGGGAAATTTATTCCTTTTTCTGGAGAATAGAGGAAGGCAGGACCTTCACTCCGTAGGGAACAGCTCAGACTAAGAGCTTTATTTTCTGCTACAATCTTTCCTGCCTTCCTCATCACTCTGGCCATGTATATTATTTTCAGACTCAGCAAAATGGTCCACAACAGACAGCTGGCTGTGGACACCATACTTCTTAGAGGCCAAAATGTAAAAATACTTTCAATAACAGCTGAGTAAGACAGAAGCATCGGTATTTGCTTGGCCTCTTTTGAATAAAGGGAAATTCAAACTGATTCTAGATTAAAAAAAAAGAGATAAGACATATTTTAAACACCAACTATATCAAAACATTAGTAAAAGGATTTAAACATAATAGAAAACATAAAGAAGCTAATCTGAACAAGAAGTGTTAACCTTTTGTAGTAACCAATGTTTTTAGTCCTGATTTTAAGTAGCAAGATATTGTTGGTTCTAAGGCTGAAGTTTATAGAAACCTCATGTTTAGTTCTTAGCTTAAAAACATGATGCACAAAAGTCAGAAAAATAAGGGTTGACATCATTCATAGCGAACTTGGAAAACCTAAATATGTTTGGATTGCAGACAAGAGACAAGACAGAGCTCAAAACACCATTAAGAATCTAATTAAGCATATTCTTTTACAAACAGGGAGAGAGTGGATTAATGACTGATGGAACATACAGCAATTTCTTTCTGGTGTAGGTTAGTTGTCTTTTATCAACTGATAAACTGCTGATATTTTAAGCTGGAATCAGAATAATTTATTAATAAAGTCTATTTGGTTGTTGAAAGTTAGGTCCAGGTCTACGATTGACATTTACTGATGGAAACCAATTTACGGCAGCAAAAATGCTGACTTATGTCTTTTCTCCAATAGGATGGAGGAAATAACCCATCCATTAGTAGGTTATTTGCAAAGTGTGACTACAGTTGACTAAGCTAAAGAAACACAAAGCTGTATGTAATGAGCAAATACATTGTAAGAGACATTATAGAACCTACTAGAACCACATAGGTTTACCTACTGTAGAAGACAATCCTGCCTACTCTTCCAGTCTTTCAAGATGTTATTATCAAGAACAAAGTAACACGAATACTTCTCTTTTTTAGGCTTTTTTTCTGCAGGTTTACTCATCATTTGGAAACATTTCCAAAAATGCAAGTGAGACACTTTGCCAATGGAACAAGATAACCTACATTTAAAATAAGATTTCAAGTTCGTATTATCTAATTGTGTTACTTTAAGAGTAAAAATTCCCATTCCATTGGCAAATCATCATATTAACCTACTCAAATTAAAGGTAAGAAATTATCACTTATTTTTTATAGATTGTTTTTGCTCTGAGATAAATAGGTTGCAAATCACAATAAAATGGTTTACTTTTCATAGTCAGCAGATGCTGTTTGTATTTATTGCTGTATATATCTCCAAAAAGCGAAATATGTGTTTTTTTAATCAAGAGAAAAGTGTAAAGGCCTTCTTATAGCAAACTCACTGGCCTTCCCCATTGGCAACAGGTGGGGGAGGGTAAACGCTTTGTTTGTCTTTTCTTTATACATCTCCTGCCATTTTCACCTACATTTTATTTAAATGTCTTTAAAGTGTTAAAACTAAAAAAATTTATCAGTTTTAAAAATGTCGGTATACCCCGATATATGTGTACACCTACTCCTAATAATATTTTGGCCATTACGGCTCAAAACGTATCAAAGATATTTGGTAAGAAGTCCAAACTCACTTGAAAATGTGCCGTTTCTGCAGACAGTAATGTGCCATCACCTCCTCAGACGGCCACACACCTGGATCAAAGAGAGTGAAAAAGGAAATCAGTAAATGAAAAAGCCCAACTGATGTCATATCCCTGCTCATATCCCTGTGTCTTAACATCACAGCACATCAGCATTGATATAACACCCAAATAAACACAATGGTGGTTCTATCGAACATAAAGGGAGGCATTGTGTTCTCCAGTCTGTGTTCATTTGCTTCTGTCATGGCTTCCACCTTGCCTGCGATCCAAGGCTTCTCTGTCTGCACGTCTGTCTCTCCGTCTGTCTATCCTAAATCCCTGCAACACACTCCCTCGTTGGCCATTGTGTATGCATATGTGTAGGAGCGAGCGTGTGTGAGACAGGGCGTCCGGTGTGTGATAATCACAGTGTGCAGGCCTGCCTGGCTTATCACCTACAGTCAGCCCTTCTCCTTCTCCCGTGCATGTAACGCACACGCGCACACAAAACTCACTCCCAACTATTTGCTCTCTCTTTTTATTGCACACACATGCACATCCACAGACAAATATGCACATCTTGGCAGCGAAAGAAGTAAACATTCATTTGAATAAAACTTCAGCTTCTGGCTTTGAACAAGAAGGTTCGCCTTGGCGCCGCCTGTGTGTAAAGTGTGTGCGTCCACAAGTCTGTGTGGTGTTTACACGCCGAAGTTTTACAACAGGAGAAAGACTGAGAGGATATAGAATAAGTTGAAGGAACCACTGAGAGGAGCTGGTGGAGGAGAAAGAAAAGGTGGTAGTCGATATAATAAGCGGCTTACAGGCGGTCTCTCATCACCTCATGGGGCAGACATCCCTGCTCTCTCCTTCTCGCCATTCACTCTTTCGCTCACTCTCCCGCTATCCTCGCTCCGGTCCGCCAAGATTAGCTCAAGCAAGCAGGATTTAATAATGCCTATTGATAAAATGTCCAAATATTCCTTTTCCCTATTAGAAAAAAAAAAAAAAAAAACTCTTTCCAGTGTGGTGTGACAGCAGACAAACACACATGCTGTACTGAACAGACATGAACCATGCTGACATTTTAAATTTCTTCCTCTTAAATCTTCTTATTTGACACACAGCAAGGAAAACTTCACAATGTCAAGTGTTGCTTGACTCATTTCAGCAGCTGTATAATTCTTGAAGGGCAAAGCTCATCTCACCTTGTCTTGTTTGCTGTAATTACACTACAGATTCTTGCTAATATGCAGCAATGTCTCCAACATGGTGTCTAATTGTACTTTCCTGGTGTAAAACATTCCATTTGCAAACCAGTGTTCTGCAACTGTCAGAATTTTCCCCGGTCCAACACTAATGGATCTAAAATCTAAACTTTACCTTAAATGTGTACTTATTGTGCTCAGTTCTCCGAGGGAAGGGGAAAATCTAAAAAGTGAAAGACACTGACCCTCTACAAATGGAGTTTGGCACCTATGCCACACATTATCAATGTTTGCACATGGTCTTCTCTAATATTCTCAAAGCAAAAAAGGTTTCTCCCCTGTGGAATGTCTTTGGGCTTTTGGCATGGCACTTTAAAAACTATACATAAACATTACAAATCAGGAATTAAGGAGTCCAGCACAGTCAGGCTGATATATTTAAATAGGCCCTATGATGAATGCTTGGAATCACCTTAAGCTATAAATAGCTCAGTGATGGTATTAATGTTAACATCTTATGTTATGAAACTGAGCTTTTTAACCCTGATGGGTGAATATAACACATCTTAGGTGGGGTTTTCTGCAGGTTTCCACTGCACTGTTTTTAAAACATTGTTTAAGTTATTTTAACGCAGACTGCATAAGTGACACAGCATAAATTAGTCTGAAATTCCTGCAGTTTCAGGTTTTTACAAATCATCTAATTTAACCCATTCTGTAAGAAAATATTTTGAAAACAAAGGACGGTGTAGATGTCTTTAAGGATAACCTAGAAAGATTTCTGGCTCATGCAATGATTTAAAAAAAAACTTTTTTTTTCTTTTAGCATTAAAGGACAAAATGAAAAGAAAAAAATATGAATGTCTCTAATCTATCGAAATTTATGCGACCTTATTTAATCAACATAAGGTCACATAAATTGAAGCATATTGTGTGTGTTTTTTTTTAAAGCTATCTGATGCTCACAAATTTAAAGATGTCATAAATATTCAGTTATATAATAACCTTTGCTGGTATGTTTGTTCTCCTCAGCATCATCTGATTTGAACTTTGACCCAATTTCTCCTGATTATGTACTCACATGCAACATAATTGCAAGTGAGCAGACATCTCTGGCCTGGGAAATGGCAGTTCAGCTCCTCCCCTGCATGTCGGCACATGACACTTGACATGCAGGGTCCCCCTAAACATGGGGGGCCGATGAACAGCAGAGGGTGGTAATGTAACATTAAACCGTCTCTAATCCACCACTCAGAGGCATTTAATAGGTTTTAATGCTGCTGAAGATTCAGGGAACCAAACATTATTGATGATTTAATAAAGGCCTTAGAATTTGAACATACCCTTATATTAACTTAATAAAAATGGTGGTTCTGGGAGGTCGTCAGGGTTAGGCCCAGAAAATGAATGAAAGTCAATGCAAAATCCTTGGAAATATAGAAAGAAATGGTATATATTAGAGTGGATGGAATTGAGAGAAAGTGCACACACACAAAGGTGAGAAAAAGACAACTCAAAGTAATAAAGCTTTGTAAAGCATATGTGAACCCAGTGGTTAATCCGCATCTCCAATAACATTAATAGCACAGAGGGTGATAAAACTGTGTGTGCAGTGTGCATAAGGGCGGGATAAGTATGTGGTTTATGCAGATGGGAGTGTTTGTGTGTGTGTGTGTGTGTGTGTGTGTGTGTGTGAGACAGAGAGCTGCCTAGGTCAAGAAGCACTGTAGGAAATGAAGGGATCAGGAGCAGAGACCAGATTACTCCTTCTGAGGATAATGAAATTATTTCTCACCTTCAATTACCTGATGATGGAGGGGAAATAGTTCTGTGTATGTGTGTGAGTATCTAGTCAATATAGTTATTAGTTGGGAACTACCCGTGTTTCATCTGTTATTGCAAAAATCAATGGGTTTTGTGAAGAAAACTCTACATTAAGCATGATAAACACAGGAAGGAAAGATGCTGACTGAAGAAAGTCAGAGGGTGGTAGTGTCCAATACTGGCATGCAATGTAAGTCCTTGTAGAAGAAGAACCAAGTTACAGTAGCTCCATAGTATATTACCTCAGCTACAACACATTTTTTTTTAGAGGTATTAAAGATGCAACTAAGGTAGAACCGTTTTTCTATAATACAAGGCAACTTAAAGTAGACAGACTCCCAAGATATTTTCTTGTCCTGCTTATTTAATCAAGCATGCAGCAATGCATTGTGCCACCAGAAGTGATAAACGTAAAGGATGAGTGCAAAACTTTAATGGATTTGCCATTTCTAATTTGTCACAATACATAGTTTTAATGTTTTTCAGGAAAGAAAGAACACCTCAAAACTTCCCCTATGCAATCAGTTTATCAAGAAAAAGCCTACTTTAAAATGTACTTTTTGGGGGTTCTTTGAGGAGCAGAGCTCTGCTGATAGGCAACATTTACTGCATGCAGCTGAAGAGTTGTTTCCCCACTAACACAGGTTGATCACAGAGGCTGAAAAGGATGTGCTGGGATTTAAGAATCCTCTCAAGGTACGGAGGGACTCGACCATCTGGTCGGCTAGCAGCATCAGAGGCTGGCTTCGTATTGCATCAAGAACTGAAATTTCCTGTTCTACTCACATTGCAGTGTCCATATAATCTGTAAAACTTCCTGCATAATTATAATAAAGCTATTTATATGCATTAATCAAGCAGAACACTATGACGATAGCCGTACTGCTCCACTTGTGAAAGTAAAATCTGTGGGGCTATTTTTGGCATCAAGACAATTATTCTTATTGTCACATCACAAGACAGGACACTGTTAAAAAAAAAGAAAAGAAAAAAAAGCAAAGAACTGAAATTTCAGAAAACATTTGAGGTCTTTAGCAATTAAGCAATATCCTGATAAATCAAGCAGGTATCCAGGTATTACACAGTGACATTCCTGTCCTAAAATGTTGTAAAAGTTCATTTGTATAGAACGTGTAATCCATCAAATACTCACAACTGTGCAACGTCATTGCACGGAAGAGTGGACAAATCATCTTTGTTCACCACATAACCTCATCCCTAAAAAATTCCAAAAATGTTTTATCTGCAAGCCAGATTAAAGACCAGGGATGTCAAACTGGCTCCACAAAGAGCCGTGTTGCAGCAGGTTTTCTTTCCAACCAAGTAATAGCACGCCAGACTCCATTCAACTCATCAAGTCATCATGTTAACTGGACTTACTTGATGAGATGACTGGAGTCTGGTGTTCTATTGCTTGGTTGGAAAGAAAACCTGAAGCCATCCTGCCTGGAACCAGTTTGACATCCCTCTTCTAAACCAATGGCTACATTTATAAAGCCTGCATACACACAAAACAGAGTTGGACTCTTGTTTATTTTCATGCAAAGGTTGGGATCTATAAAAAATAAACTTGTAATTAAAAAGTGTGTTCCCTCACACCAACTCTTTCCAATGCGGGAAAATCGGGAACACAGATGGTGACAGGGGGAGAGACTGAAGCTAAGTTGCATAACCATTTCTCACTGACATTTAAATTCACTTACATTAAACTTTAGATCATAGAATATTTTTATAGGATCTGAAATAGCAGTGTGATGTATCTTGTCCTGTCACACACAAAAAAAATTGTATAAATGAAATATTAGGAAACCTCTAAATATGATAAGATTTTTTCACATGTTAAATTGTATGTATTGAGTGTACTGCTTTCTCTGGCTTTCATTTTGTTTTTAATTAATTACAGCTCTTAACTACTCTGTGGTTAATGTCGACTCTGACAGGGACAAATTTCCCAACGAGTGTTATAATGAAAAACATTTCTGCCTAAAGCCTTTTTTGAGGAAAAAATATTTTTGTAAATGTATTCAGAAATGGGAGA